GCCGTATGAGATTTTGGTTTGATTAATTTAACTACCACGGCTTTTTGTTGTCATGAACGTGTGGATGAAAAGAGTGCTAGAAGTGAAAACAAAGCGCTGTGAATTTTAAGATAAGTGGTTGAATCGAAACACTCGGATTGAGAATGTTTTTAGCTTCCATTGTGGGGAAAGTGAATGAATGTTCCCTTTTTATTATCACTACATCTAGTAGTTTCAACCGAGATCCTACTATTGTTGTATGTGCTGAGGTAACCTTAAACATTGCTGATATTATTCTGTGACTTCTCGCTTCTGTCTATTAACAATACATAATCCACGGATGTAAACTGAGGCGGCGGCGCTAATGATATCGCGTTCTTCCCACGCGACCGAAAAGTGGAAAATGGGCCCCGTCCTTTCCAGTGAGCCTGTAGCATGCGCTACGGGCGCCCGCGCAAAACTGTTGTGATAGCGCCGGCGCCTGTGGCGCGGGCGCCAAGCGTTTTCGCGCTAAACCGGTGTGATATTCGTGTTCTACGGGTCGAATTACCCCTGAAGGCAAGTTTCTAGCCAAATCCACAGTCATGGACGAATTTCGATCAAAATCCGGCTCAGTTCTTGAGGAGTGGGGCAGTAAAGGGTAAATAGTGCCGAAAATTTTTGTCATTAGAATGATGCATTAAAATTTCTATATTAAAATGGGTTTCTCACTAGAAGAGCGCTCGAAATTCTACTAGTTCTCAGTTAGGGTCGCTACTAATGACTTTAACTTACTTGCATTTTTCTTCTCGCCATATGATGTCTCAAGGTTAGGCGGACCTTCTCTTCCAGTGTTCTGTTATCACTTTTTAGGAATTTCCTGAATATACAAAATATATTGTAAAAAAATATAGAGGAAAACACCAAGTGAGTGCAATACAAACTTCGCCGCTCTGATCTTCAGGTCAACATCTTGTATGCTATGTGCCTTGAGTGCTTCTTCGTAGGCGTCTTCCGCCAATACTATATCCCATTCCTGTGTATCACTTTTTATAGATAAGAAACTCGCTATGGAATGATGTCAAGGTGGCCTACACAGCTCAGATGAGCTCCGACAACTAACCAGTCCTGGATTGTATGCCTTATTAATTTCCTCGAAGGTCGTTTTCCATATCCAGCGGAAGACCGTATTCGTTGTATTTTTCCAAGTCTGGAAACTTGCCTCTTGGTTGTTTTATTAATTTTAGGCAGCTGTGGTTAAAATGTTCCTCAAGGAGTACAGCTATCAACGCTCAAAATCAGTTTGGCAGCACTCACCGAAATCAGACTTGACGTTGGCAAGGAAGGGATCAGTATTGTTAAGGATGATAAATGGCATTGTAAATCTGACAACCTCGTCTGACGGCCCCTCTTTATAGCCGACGATGATGTACTTTTGTTGATCATGATTACACGTCGAAACAAATTTCATAATCACGGCTTTTGCCTGGGGTTTTTCAAACATGTTTGCCCACCCCACCATTTTTTTGCGTTATTTATTGTTCCAGATCGCTGACTTTCGTACCAGTGAGAGGCTAGTTGTCAAAAATGGCACGCCTATGGTGGGACAGGACTCGCACTATGGGCATGGTTCGTGCAGCAAATCTCAGACCGGACCGCATCAACGGTAGCCAGACCCTTCACCTCACGGCTAGGGTCAAAAGCGCGAACTCGTGCATTGAATGTGGCTTGGCGACTCCGATGGAAGTGTCACGTGGGGCATCCTTAAAACGAATTGGCTGCCACTTCGCGAGTTCTCCTCTTACTTCTCCTTTTTTTCCTCTCTGAACATAGCAAGACTTCGAAAACATAGCTAATTTCACATGTCAGTAATCTATGTACCTTCAGTGGCGGGTGACGCCACTTCCCAGTCTGAACCTCGCCTAAGTCAACAAAGCCATCCACCCCTTCGAGGTCGGTTTAAGGAATCTTACGTCGGAAAAAGCTCCGCCTCCATTACCTACCTCAGAGAAAAACGATACCTTAGGCCCCTAGCCTCATGAGCATAGCAAAAAGAACGGAACATAAGCGTTAGTTTCGATAATACTAATCCTACACACAAGACAAAATGATCACTCTTTCCGTGGAAGATTCCTTTAAGGTATCGTTTTCTGTGGTAATGAGGGCGGAGCTTTTTCCGTGGAGGATTCCTTTGATTGGTACCAGAATTGTGTAGGAGCATGATAATACTGGTTTATACATCGACCACTCCCCACTGGTTAGTTGTCAAATGAGCTCATCTGAGCTGTGTAGGCCACGTTGCCATCATTCCATAGCGAGTTTCTTATCTATTAAAGGTGATACACAGGAATGGGATCTAGTATTGGCGGAAGATGCCTACGAAGAAGCACTTAAGGCACATAGCATACAAGATGTTGACCTGAAGATCAGAGCGGCGAAGTTTGTATTGCACTCACTTGGTGTTTTCCTCTATATTTCATTCAATATATTTTGTATATTCAGGAAATTCCTAAAAAGTGATAACAGAACACTGGAAGAGAAGGTCCGCCTAACCTTGAGACATCATATGATGAGACGAAAAATGTAAGTACAAAACTTCAATTCCTTTACAAAATGTCACTAGTAGCGACCCTAACTGAGAACTAGTAGAATTTCGAGCGCTCTTCTAGTGTCTTACCCATTTTAATATAGAAATTTTAATGCATCATTCTAATGACAAAAATTTTCGGCACTATTTACCCTTTACTGCCCCACTCCTCAAGAACTGAGCCGGATTTTGATCGAAATTCGTCCATGACTGTGGATTTGGCTAGAAACTTGCCTTCAGGGGTAATTCGACCCGTAGAACACGAATATCACACGGTTTAGCACGACAACGCTTGGCGCCCGCGCCACAGGCGCCGGCGCCAAGCGTTGTCGTCCTAAACCGTTGTTCGTGTTGCTTTAATGGGATGTTTATTTTTTCAATCTCACTCCATTTCATGAAAAGGATCGCGGGCGACATAACTTTATCGAAGGGCAATAGTCAAATGGTCTTCATCACCTACCCTCCTCTTCCAAGAGTGTCGGCTGCAGACAATGCACCACAAGTGACGACGGCCTTCACAAAATGTTAATGTTTTCTGCCAATGAAATGATTAGCCTGTATCGATTGTCACTAATTACAACTATCATTTACCAGAAATCAGCTATCACTATGAACAACTTCTAACCAGATTTACTTGGAGGCCGTCGTCAGTTGTGGTGTTTGGTCTGCACCCGACACTTTCTCGCTTTCTTGAAGGGGAGGTTAACTGAGATCTTGTTGCACCGGTGGTTTCTTTTCCTTTTGTCCCAGTTAACAGCTACGTCTTTCCGCGCTTACACGCCCTCGTCTGAAAATGACGTCGAAGATCCTTTGCGAGGAATTACGCTTAAACCCAATTTCAGCCAATAAACGACAATCCGAGCGCTCTGAATTCCAGCGCCGGTCCTACACAGCTCCTTACAACTGCTTTTGGTAACCGCGACAGCTTCTCTTCCAGGTTCAGACCAAGCGCTGCTGCATACTCAGCTCACGACATCATCAGAGTTGGGCAACATTCATCCGTTGCTAGGTACCACCACGGTGTCTCGTTGATACGTTCGGACCGTTTTCAAAATCTCTCCTCTCAATGAGCGCAGCTTTTCGCTCTGACTTATTCACAGTTTAATGGGGGATTTATTTGAGAAGAGTAATTTTCGTACTATCTGTGCTGAATAGCTAGATAACCCTCTCCTCCGGTATACGCCAACCACGGCTTTTGGCTCTAGCTGCTGCGGTTCAGCGTTGGGGTATTCAGTGTAAGGCTCCTCACTACATGTGACTTCTACGATTCCGCTGGGTTTAATGGAAGTCATCTGCAGCAGTCGGAAAATTAGACTTCTTCAAGGATTAGATCGTAGTCAAGGAGTGGGCTGCTCTAGATTTGCTAAGCTACCCCACCATTCCAAATCTTAGCGAGACCAGAAAGCAATGGGTAACGTGCTCTCGAATGTGATAACTGAGACAGTAATAATTCGAAGAAGGGTCATAATCAGTCAGAAATCCAATTGATATATAAAGTATTTCACAAAGTCATCAGATAGCGACTAGACCTAGGGCAGTATTGATCTAACTAGGCTTATTCTGATGCTAGGAACAGGTTCACACAGCAGACTCAATCGTTTTACCGAAGAGCAGGCATTTATTGATCTGTTTGTTCGCACAGATACAGCAGAAGGGCAATACTAGAATTTTTATTAACAAGTTTTGGGCCACAACAATAATGTTTTGAGCCGGGAAGTGCATGCTCACTGACCTCAATCCACACACGCACTACCACGTTCCACTGATGATTAGTTCGAAAAAAGGACTCAGGGAGGAAGTGAAAACACAAGGATAAACCGATACACATTCACAGAATTCTCTCGCCACGGGACGCGCTACGGATGCGATGCATCTTCAACACCGATGGAACAGGTCCTGGGGGTTTTGGTGTTGTTCTACGGAGATAAATCGTATAATAGCCCTCATCTTGCAACACACTACTAGCGACGAAAATGCGCATGCTTTGCTTGCACTGATGGTGCAGGACTAGGCTTGGCAACCATTCAAAACGGAGCTCTCACCAAAAGCCACGACCAAGGCCCAACCGCGCGCGTTTTTTACCTTCAAGAACCTCAAAAGCATTCAATCAGCTGGATCTCATAAAGATCTCATAAATACGTGGATACGTGGATCTCATAAAGAATAGAGGGGAAGATTGAAGGCCGCAAATACATGTCAAAAACATTCGCTAGAGGTTATTGGGCTTGCGGGCCGTATACGCCCAAGAGATGAAGGGTGAATTGAGGGTTGAAGGTTGACGGCCCCTGGAAGATATCGCGCGGAGTTGGTATAAGTGGCCATTGCGAAAAAGCCTGTGACGCAAAAATCAAACATAGAGGTACATATGAATATGTATAAGGCAGAATCCAATCTTTCAAATGAACGTACTGTAGAAAACAAACGCTTGTTCGTACATCGAAAATAAATGAAACCTCATTTTCAGAATTCTTTCGTAATAAGTGAACAGGTGAGATGAGCAAATCACTCGAAGAAGGAAATGAAGCTAAAGGAATTGTTGGGGAAATAAAATCAAGCAAAGCTGAAAGCGCTATCCAATATGCCACGGTATCTCTTAGTCCTGGCATTGTGGATCCACCCAAGAAGTATACCATGCCGTTTATGATTAGGTAAAATTCGGCTGAACATTCGGGCCTATGGCCTTCGCCAGAGGCTTCAAAAGGCAAGAAATGAAAATGTTTCTCCTGAACGCTGTAACAACGGTGAAGGTAACTTGTCATTACAGTGATCTCATCTCATATTACGGTATCGATCGGAGACATATTCAGGTCTGACTTGTTGTCTGCTACCGTATTGTCAAGCCAACCACTTATGCTGACTCCTTTCTTATATCTCATCGCAACCTTGTGTACATCAATGCATTGAGATCGTACACAAGCCTTGCTTATGCACAAGAACGATTTCTCAGTATGGTTTCCTGGGTTCCATCGTAATCCACATTTGCACTGGGGCGCGCAGTTAAATTGGAGCACGAGTAGGCGTCCTTTAACTGCGCGTCTGTCGTGTTGATCTCGGGATTGCGGTGCTGAAATAGCCATTCCAACTGAGTGCTAGCTCCTGACAGATCCAGCCGCCCATTTCTCGTGAATTCTGATCCTTTACATCGCAACTCCCAAGTAGGGCGCAGTGGTGTCGCCTTGAACTGGTGATTGTCAAATGTGTAATTTGATTGATCAAGTTGGTTTTTCTAGAAAGTCAGTGCTTTAATTTATAAGTTAATGTCGTCAAAATAGAAAATCATGAGGACTTTCAAGGTAGGGCCGCATTTTTTGATTCTAAATCCAGTAATTTCTTTCAAAATGAAATCATACGCGTTTACAGACGGAGAGAAAATCGCTGACTAGTTTTGTAGCGCTGAACACACGCGCTACGACATTATGTACCAACCTAACAGTTGCATTTTGTCGTTTTTTCTAATGAAAGTCCGATCCAGGCCATGTCGACTCCATAATGAAGCTGTCGAATTCCAACATAGTGTAGTAACGTGCTGCCCCGGGGAAACAACAGCGGCGGGGGTTTTAGAAGAATGCACACGATCCAAGCATAGACTATGTAGGCAATGCTATAAAGTGGAACTTCAAACGCATGACTGTATCAGGGGGAGAAAGCGATTGCTAAAAATCACCAAATAATACTCCTATTTGACTCTCGCATTACTAAGATAAATTCCCTAAGAGTAATTGAGTAAGTCGCACCACCAGCTGAGTAACTACTATAGCCTTCAAAAGCATGTGGCCATGTTTCGAGGAGGTTCGCGAATGAATTCCCTCCGAATGTAGCTGCGAGCATCTACAAAATTTACAACAAAATTAAACGAATCCGCAATCCGAAACCAACGCGACAGACGCGCAGTTTAAAGGACGCTTTTTCGGCGCTCCAGTTTAATTGCGCGCCCCAGTGCAAATGGGGATTACGATGGAACCCAGGAAACCATACTGAGAAATCGTTTTTGTTGCTTGTATGTACATATATTGATACGTTTCCCGTATCCCCAAAAGTTTTGTGAGTACACTGTTCGCCACTCTTCAATTTCTTGGCTATGTTTAAAAGGAATCCTCCACGGAAAAAGCTCCGCCCTCATTACCACAGAAAACGATACCTTAAAGGAATCTTCCACGGAAAGAGTGATCATTTTGTCTTGTGTGTAGGATTAGTATTATCGAAACTAACGCTTATGTTCCGTTCTTTTTGCTATGCTCATGAGGCTAGGGGCCTATCGTTTTTCTGTGGTAATGGAGGCGGAGCTTTTTCCGCGGAAGATTCCTTTAAGGTTTTACCGGAATCCAGATCACTTCTGATATTTTCCGCTCCACCCCAAATCACTTCTGATATTTTCTGCTCCACCACTTTCAACGATCATTCGTCCCTGTCGCGTGCAAGAGTTGTCCAGTGGACCCTCCTCGCTCGAGGGACACGATGTCCTTCATTCCTTTCGTTCAGAGCTTTCGTGAAGAAGTCTGACCATCGGGCCGGCGGTCGTCCAGGTGTTCGTTTGACGTTTGCTGGCGCAAAGTTCGATTCACTGGTGCAATCGAAAATCCTTCCTTGCACAGTTAGCTATTGTCACATATCTGCAAACCGAGAATCTGCTTAATTGTGATTGTTTCGCTTTTCCCTTTCTGGTTGTCCCAACTATTTCCATTTTCATACACGATGCTGGGCAACAAAACTCCAAAAAAATTGAACGGCATAATTTTTGATCATCCATTGCAAACATATTAATTGTAACCCTAGTCAACGGTCTCTTCACAGCATTTCTGCCTTGGTATTTCGCAGCGATATAGCTGAGAAAGGGCGGAAGTGGTGTAGTGACAAGTGGCGCGCTTACCACGCGAGCGGTCCGGGGATCAAATCCTGGGTCGTGAGTCGCCCGGGCCAACCAAGCCTTCCATCCCTCCGGGGTCGGTTAATTGGTACCAGACTTGTCTGGGAGGATAAAAACACTGACTTGTACATCGGCT